ACAAAGTGATCTAATTTTTCAAGATAAATAATTTAAGAAACAAGATGATATTTTTATGGCAACCCAACTAAATTAATTTGCTTCTTATTCAATAGTCATCCTTAAGCATTTTCATTGTTCTTGTTTTAAAAAAGTGAAAAAAAAAAAAAAAAAAAAAAAAAAAAAAAAAACTGTGAAAGACCTAAAAAAAGTAAACAAAATTTAATTTAAAAATTAACATTTTTATTTTAAAATAAATAATTTTAAATTTATCTCTGATTTGTAGGCTCAAAAATGCAACTAGTTAAAAACATTAACAAGAAAAATTTTATCAGTATTTATTTCCTAACTGAAGCTCTTTTTTGTATTGATGAAATTCTGCATGAGTCAGTTAATTTATTAAGTACAAATTTGGATTATTTTAAAAATTTTGTTATCAGACTTAATTACAAACACACACACTCACATCCACTGTGTGTAGAAGCATTTTTTTTTAAAAGAACATACATATGTGTGCAGACGGTGTAAAATAGAAATTGAATATTTTATTCAATTCCTACACACAAATTTAACCAAACCCATAAACAAAGATATAAAAGAATGTTAAAAATGTGTGTCTTTGTCGGACATAAGAAACTAAAATTTCTACCTAACGCATATGCATTTTTTTTTTCTTATTTTGCTATATTAATTGATAAGGGAGATAATGCTAAGTTTAAAATATGATTTAGAATTTTTATGAGATTAGTAGACAACTAAAATTAGTAACATATTTTGGAAAATTTACCCTGTAGTTACGAATCGGCCAATTAAAGATTTGACTTTATGAAATGCCGACAAAAATATTGCACGAATTCTACTAATAGATAAGACGACAGAGAAAGACAACAATGAAAGAGAGCAAGGAAGGCTCATCGGGTCAGGTGTTTTTACACCAGTTTCAACTCGAGAAATAGTGCTTTATTCAAGTTGGATCTCCCTTTTTAATCACCTGTTTTTATTTTAGCAAACATTTTTATTGTGAAATTTATGTCGCATGTAAGATAACCAGGTAAAATCTACGATGCACATGTGACAAAATAAAAACGTCATACGACACGACAGAACAAGAACGTTGCGACACAAAAACATAACCGACATTGTAGGATTGAAAATAAAAAAAATAATACAAATAAAAAATTTGTAGAATTATTTAATAATAATAATCATCATGAATATCAATATGGTACCAGACACTGTCCTTTTCTCTCTCTCCTACTCAGTGTTCTTTTTTCTTTTTTACTCTAGGTCTAAGTCTGGTACATATGATGACGTTTTGTACATTTTTAAGAAGAATGTGTAACGCCAATCTCACAGAGATAATCATTAAAATTAAACTAAAGGCAAAAATTAATAAGGTTTGTGAAAATATTTAAGTGTTTACTGTTTATTTTATTTCAAATTAGATTGTAAACAAAATGTTACCTGTTTTAAAACTTCAATTACGAGAAAAATAAACTTTTTTATAAATATAGTTTTCTTCAACAAATTTTAAAGAGAAATTTTCCAATACCAATACAACATTATTGATTCTTCTTAATTTTCACTTTAAGACTTAAATTTTGTATACGATTTTTTTTTTTTAAGATTTAGTTTGATCTTTTTGGTTAAAGAAACAAAAATAAGGTGCCTCCATAAAGGCTGATATTAATTTCGAAAACAAATGGGTAACTTTTTTTTCTTTTTTTTTACAAATAATAAATTAAAAATGCAACAACTGCAGAAAATGTTTGTTTTTTTTTTTTTCTGACAGATGTAAATTTAATTTCCTGATAATGATACCAACACCCATCAAAATAATTAAAAACGAAGACAGAATAAAAAAAATGATTTAAGTGAAAAAGAGAATCGATGCGAAAAACACATAATCCGTGAATCCCAGATTACGAGATGGGTGTGAACCGTTTTAAAAATAAATAAAATAATCAATAATTACTACAACAATTTCTTCAGTGACCTATCAAAATAAAAATAAAATAAAAAAGTTTTTAAATTAAAAAAAAAAAAAATACTAGTGAAATAAAAAGATCAATATGCAATATGTGTTTCATTAGGTCTAAATTTTTGTTACAATTCACTTCAGAGAAGTTAAACTTCTAAATTTCAAATTTGTAGTAAGTAATTGTAATATAACTGAAATTTCTCCCAGACTGATTATATATATATATGAACTAACTTTTAAACACTATACAAAAACTAGCAACGTACGCAAGCAGTCAGCTGATTTTTTAGCAACAATGTTAAAAAGTTATTTTTAAAAAAATTAAATCAAAGACTGAACAATAAAAAAGTATTTCTAGACTTTAAAAACGGAATTTGTGTACATATAAAAAAAAAAGTGTTGAGTTTACTTTCTTCATAATTATTACATGACCATTCTTTTCATTTTGTTCAAAAGTTTGAAAAAAATCGTTAAAACAACTTAAAAATGAAATGCCCAAACCCAAAACTCCTAAAATAGTGATGAGACCCTCTGGTTTATTTAAATTTCCAAGCAAAACAAATATATACATTTTCTTTCTTTTTATATGCATAAAATATATTGTGTAATAAATAAATATTTTGCAATTCATTTTTTTAACCTTATCATCACATTCTTTGTTTCTGGAAACAGGAAACACTTGCACATATTTTTTTAGGCACCACTAGTAAAAACAAATCGTTGCTTTTTCTTATTCATCAAAAAACATAAAACAAAAAGTGAACAAAGATTATTTCATGAGTAAAATTTTCTTTGTTTCAAGATGTACTCTTCATTTAGTCTTTATTACTCTTCTTTTCTTTAAACTAAAATATTTTCCATAAGTCAAACGAAACTGACAACGGACGATCAAGCATGTTGCTCCAAAAACAATGAATGTTTATTGTTTATATTGCAGCTTTGGAAACTGTGTCGGATATTTATTTTTTTTTTTTTTTTTCCACACTTCATGTTTATATGTAAGGAATTCATAAAAAAGACAAATACAAAAATATTTTTTTTTCTTTTTCATAGTGTCCCAAAAACAAAGTTAGGCGTTACGGTTTGTTATAGTCATATATTTTTGTTTACGTACTCAAAATGACATTAATTTTTTTTCTATTATAAAAGGTGGCGAATTTTTAGAGTTTTCTCAATGTAACAGTTTCCAAGTAAATGTTTTTTTATGCTTTGTGGGATCGATTGAAAAAAAAAGAAAAAAAAACATTGCTTGCTTCTTGAGACAATTTGAAGGGAGTCGTTCTTTCTGAATGTGAACAATTTTCAAGATCTATTTCTGCGAAATACTTTTTTTTCTTGCATTAACCAATAAAAAGTTTTAATTATCGATTTGCAAAATAAAAATGTAACAATTTCTTTTCTTCTGTAAAAAAAAAAATCATTTCATTTATTCTACAAACACTTAGATTAAAGTACCAATTCCATTCATTCTTGTGCGGGGGCAAAAAGGATTGATTTTTCAACGTTTCTGTGCTTGTTCGAATTTTAACTTGAACCAAAAACAAAGTGGATTTGGTCTTGTATGGAGGAGGTTTTTTTAAAAGATAATTCAGGATAAATTAAAAAAAAAAAAAAAAAAAAATGAATATTTTGTTACCCCCCAAAAGTACTAAACGCACGTGGCAAAAATATGAATCTGTTTAAAAATGCCAAGTGGGCTATTTTATAAATCACTTTTTTTCTCTCTTCACTTGATAGTATACACACAATTATTAAAATGTAAATAACACATTCATTTTTACACAATGACAACTGTTAAAAATGTTCATACCAATGAACGTAAGTAAAATAAAACTTAAGTCGTATTCAGTTAAAACACTAGTAACACTTTAGTGACTTTACTAACAGCAATAGTCGTACTATTAGCACCGAAGTAGGCTTTTTTGAAGTTACTAGTTAACATCAGTATCAGTTGTCGAAGTTACTAGTGTAACTAGTAACTAGTTAGTTAGATTTTTACTTGTTTGTTATCTACATTCTGCCAGCTTCGTTTTTTGCTGTTTTACAAACCTGATCGATAAAAATGGAAAAGTAACAATTACAAAAAAAAAAAAAAATATAGCAAGAAAAATACACAATGCTTCATCTCCTCATTCTAGCGATCAGTCTTGCACATAAAGTGACAAAATTTTTAATATCTTATACATTAACTTTTTTCATTTAGGAAAAAAATCAGACAGCACAGAATTTCATCTTAAAATCTTTTAACTGACAATTGTACATCTCATCTGTTTACGCAATATGCAGAGGAAAACTCCCAAGTCAATGTGGTACCATTGTTTTTATTTTAATTGTTATTTAAAACTAAAAAAAAAAAAAGCAATGGTACCACTTGAATATTATTTAATAAACTAGAGCTGTTTTACGTTTAGTGAAAATAAAGACTAATTTAAAAGTTTTACACTTAACAAAACTGTTTTACGAAACCGTAAAACCTAAAAATCCTCTCATGACTTTTTAAAATAAAACCGGAAAACGACTTTAAATATCGGTCGGACAGAGAGAGTCTTCTTGTATACAGTACGTTTTGCGATAAATATCTTCTTTTAATTAAGGAAGGATGAGTTTTTCAAATATTATTTTTTTAATATAGAATAATATTAAAATGGTTGTAAAAAAGAAAATGATTCTTAAATTTATTTTCTACTCAATGAAATTTTGTTTGTTTTTGCAAGATCGCGAAAAAGACTATATGATGCTGTCAAAAGTTCCAAATAAGGCGTATTGGCAATACGATTCATTTTCAAGTCGCGATTAATAAAATTCTATAAGTGAATATAACTGTAAATTACAATAACTTATGTAAACATTCATTTAACATTGCCACCAAAACACTGTTGTTGGTAGCAAACAAAAACAATTTGTACAGTTTTTAGTACTGCCAATTTATGCATGAATTATGGAGATGGCTCAAAAAACAATAGTGAAATATTTATTATTTATTCTTTACAAAATAAATCTAAATCAATGAAAAGCATTTTCCTTCTTGTTTCTCTCTTACCTGACAATGTATCGGGTTCCAGTCCCGAGGCTACGTCCAAACCACAAATTACAAAATAGTCAGCGAATCGGTAAGAAGGTCCCTGTCCAGACATTGTCCTCCCTGATTAATTTTTTTTTTTCATGCGACTGGAACCACAAGAGTTCCGTCACTGAAAAAAAAAATAATGGTAATCCTAGGTGTTTGCTATTTTTTGTTTGTTTTGTTGGGGGGAGGGTTATGTTGTTGTTGTTTCTTCCCTTGGTACTCCTTACTTCGTCCTTACTATACATTCGCACACATTCACACAGACACACTCATAACATCTCGAGTCGGTGGTTGCCGCTTGGATCTTCCTCCAACTTCATCACTAAAATTACCTTCTCCTACTACTCCTCGCTTACTCCCTTTTAGGCATTATTCCCACTCCCTTTGTACACTACATCTCCTCCTCCTTCCATCTTTTACTACCTCATGGTACTACGTTTCTTTCTTTCTTTCAGATTTAAATTTTTAATATTTTCCAACAAATTGTAAAATATTTATCTCTTCTTACCTAGTCTTCTTAGTATTTTTATTCTATTTTATGTTCGTCGTCATTTTAAAGTTTTATTTCTGATTTTATTATTTTTTTTCAGTCTCTTTCATAATTCTCTCTGATTTTTATTTTTTTAAGCTTTATTGTAGAATTTTCTTTCCTTTTTTTTCTTGCTTTCAGTTCGCTCCCACTCAGTATTATTATTTTATTTTTTTCCAGTTTTCCTCTTTTCTCAGGACTCATATCTCTCTGGATTCTTCTACTGACTCCGTTTCTCTACCCACCCCTCTCTTTCTTTCTCTCTGACATGTCATTTCTCTTTTTTCACTGTCAACCGTTCTTTCCACCCGTGTTCACCTTTTTTTTCTTTCTCAAGAAACCTCCAACTTTCACTTAAAATCGCCTCCCACCCTTCGTATCACATGAATCCATATCAACAATAAAAACAAGTTAAATTAACAAACGAGCTAGATCTCTTTCTTTTTTTTAACAAAAGTAAAAATGAGATCTTGTTTCCATATGGCTTCTTGTTCTTAAATGTTTTGCTTTATTCATTTTAGCCTTTATTCTTAAATAATTCTAGAATCTAAGTGGTTAGGACTTGATACTTTTTCCATTGCTTCTAAAATAAATGCAAATGGTCCATCCATCTCAACAAGCAACGCTTTATCGAGCCATTACTGGTTGCTGCTGCTGCTGCTAGCAAATAGCGCCACCTGATCATTCTTTCCAGCACGCACGCTTTTCTTTTTTCTCTCCCTTACCACCGATGCCAATATCTCAAAAACTTTCTAATTGTACACACATTATTTATTACTCTCTTTCTTTTTCAAGACACTGCAGGGTATTGTTTTGCATGCTGTTCTTGCAAACCGTTGACAGTATGTTTTTCCCTTGGTTATTCCATTTACTACAGAATCTGGCAAAAAGTTAGCCAAGTCCAATAACATTTTTTTTATTCAGCCTGCTTTAGATCTTGAAAAAAAGGTACACTTTTTTTTTCAAATCTTCATCATTTTTATTATTTTATAACAATAAATAAAATCCTTAATGTTCTAGGAGTGGAAATCGTTGATAGTAAATTTCTGCAAATCTCTTGTTACTGACTCGTATTATTTTTTATACAGAGTGTGATGGATAAATTGTTGCCTAAATTACACAAAATTGAAAATAACACCAACATCTCATTTTAACAGATATATTTACCAAAATTAAAGAAAAATATCTTGAAATACTAAAGAGTAAATTTATTCAATAAAATCACCATTGGCTTCGACCACTGCCTTCAGACGACTTCAGAATCTCCTTCAACTCTTCTGGACAGTCTCCTTGTTTAAATTGGTGAATCCTTGCCTTCAGTTCATTTTTAGTGGGGTTTCTTTTTCAGTGGTGTTCACCCTGTACAAGGCTCGAAGGCTACTGGAGGCAGAAGGTTATAGAGTAAGAGGCACATCTCATGTGGACATGTGTGGAAGATAACAGTTAACAACAGACTTGAACAGGTTAAGATTGTAGTGATCAGGGAAGCAACCTCTCAAGGTTTAATTCCACAGAGCAGTAGCTCAATGGATGAAGCTGCTAGAGTAGAACCTGCATCTCACCAGGGTAATACGAAAGGAATGGTGGGGTTGCTACAATATGCGGGACATGAATGTGATGAGCAAATTGAGAGGGGGTAAGGCAAAATATGGTTTTACAGTTAGGTGCTTGAAAGGTAGTTTCTTTATTTTGGGGAGGTGCAGTTTGAGAAACTTTTAAGAAGAAGAGGGAGAAAAAATTCTTACTTGTATCTGGGTTTGTTTTAACCATGAATCTTGTGGGTATTCAGCATCTGTTGTGGACTGTATGACAGATTGCTTACTCTCAGGTATTTATTTTCTTTTCTTCTTTGTTATCTTTTACTTTTTATGTGATTACCTCAGTGTGATCTGTCGTGGACTGAGTTGTCTCGTTGGGTTATGAATATTTTCTTGGCATCATCTTTGCTCTTCTCCATCAATTGTAACTTCTTCTGCAATTTTTTTGAGCATCTCTCTCACTTTGATGGGACATGTGGCAGGTGCCAAATCTTGCATCCACCCTACCCAACATTAGCCAACTCCTTATTAGTGTTTCTTTGGCAATGCTTCAACAAATGTCATGGTTGGTTGCACACCCAACAATGGGATTTTCATGCTTCAATGATCCTCATAAGTTGCCTCCCACCTTCATGGTAAGATGTGTGAAATATTGTCAAAAGCCCATTGAGTGTTGGGGAAGACATATAGTCTTCAGAGTTCAATCCAGAGTTACCAAATATGGCGGACACTTCTTCTATATTGTAGTGTCATCCCAATTCAGATATTTATTGCTAAGACCAGCCTTACTATGCCCATGAAGTAGATTCATCCTCATTCACCTCATAATCCATTAGTAAAGAGGAAGTTTCACTCAGCTTCTTCACAAGAACCGTTACTTAATGAAAGAGACTTCCACAAGAGTGCTTCCCCAAACAAACTAGATTCAATCATTATCTAACATGCATATGCTCATAATCTTCAATTCCTACTCTTACATTTATATCACACACCTTATTCAATAAGTCTCTACCTTGAGCGGCTCTTGAGCCTTGTATTGGTTGAACATCATTAAAAAAAAACTTGCAAAAACATCAACCAGTTGGTTCTCTGAGATATCTGTTGAGATGTTATTTTTTTACTGTAATGGACAGTAGTGTTATGATTTAGGGATACAAGTATTTACTAATTAACCCATAGCTGGGGAGAGAAGAGGTGGCTTCATAACCTTCCCAAGGGCATTTATACGCAAGTGAATATAACGAGTCCAACAGGAATTGGAACATGGTTCCCTGATTAATAATTCTGAGTCATTATGCCACCAATCCAAGCTTGCAGCACCTGTTATTCCCAAGTGGTCACTCCTCTAGGTACTGACCAGGCTCAATGTTGCTTAATTTTAATAGCGATAGGCTTGCAACATTGTGTCTGTGAGAAAAGGGGTTGGAGGCTGGAAAATAATTAATCATTGACATGGCTGCATAAATGCTTTTGAACTCTGTCAAGGCTGGCAAGTGAAGATTGGGTAGATATATTAACAATAGTCCAAATACTAAACGGCTGTGTTAAGAAAGTAAACCCTCGCACTGTACTGGAGCAACTGTCTACTTGTCCAGGTTTAATACGGGAAGTAAGCTGACAGGCATCCATATGTATCACATGATGGGAGGCAAAAGTCATATACACATTTCCAGATCTTTCTGTTTAAACACTTGAATTCAAAGTTGTCCTACACTGGCTGATACTCAAACCTAGAGAACCCAGTCTACCCTGCTATTTAACCCATAATTGGAGGAGGATAGTAACAAATGGATTTATATCTTTAACAAAAGAATGAGTGTGAAAGTGAATACAAGAGATAAAGCCAGAATTTGAACACAGCTTGCCAATTCCCCTTTCTGCATTGCTAATCATTGCACTACCTGTATGTATACATCTACTTCTCTTTCTTTTGCTCCTGATGAGTAAACCAAACTTTTAAAAAAGGTATGTCTACAAACATCTGGAGTTAGGTTGCTGAATATAACATCTGCTAAGTTACAACTCTTATATTTGTATTACTCCTAGATATACACACACACACACTCTCACACACATATATATATATTATACACTGTTACATTAGAACATATAAATATCCACTACAAAACTGTACATTTTCTTTCAACGTTAAAATCAAACATTTCTTCAGGTGGCTAACAATAATTCAGATTTGCATGTTCTAATGTAACAGTGTATAATAAATATTTATTATTCTACTCTTGTATTGAGCCCTGTTTTAAATTAATGTTTTGGATGTTGTAATTTTATTCTTTGGCCTTTTACATTCGTATATATATATATATATATATATATATATATATATATATATATATATATGGACTTTACTGTCATATTCAAAATATAAGGTCAAGCAGCTCAGTTCCTAGAACACCAGCACATATGATTTGATTATAGTGGTGAAGGCTTTTTGTGCAGTACCAACCACTCATTTGAAGGGCTGAATACAGAGAACCGGTGCACTACATGCCACAAATCCCCAAACAACCCTCCACAGGTTTTGAATTCAAAGTTGTCCTTCTCCAAGACCAGCTGCCATCCAAGGCTATAGAACCCAGTCTGTCCTGCTATTTACCCATAGCTGGAGGGAGAAGAAGAGGATTAATACTTTCCCAAGGGTATTAGCACATAAGTGAATGGATTCGATTGTAATTTGAACTCTGCTCTTTGATTCCTCAATCTGAGCCACTAACCACTACTCCACCATGCTTCCTCTTTTAACTTTTAAATTTTAACTGCTGGCTTTGAAATAAATGAAAATATATACATATATATATATATATATATATATATATATATATATATATATATAACTCCTGGCTTTGAAAAAAATATATATATATATATATATATATATATATATATATATATATATATATATATTTTCAAAGCAAGCAGTTAAAAAGTGTTAAATAATAACAGATCTTCATAAAATATAAAACAAATTACCAGTTCATAGAT